TAAAATCTTACCTTTTAGGCCTCTACTACATTCCTATAAGAATATAATATTCCCTAAGAATAACTTAATCCATTTACAAAAAACACTGAGGGCCCTCAGGGATAACAAAAGGTTATTTTATCATACAGGACATAAAATTTATCTATTCTGATCCAGATGCTCATCAAAGTTAAAGCATTCCTCATTTATCACTATTTTCTTAGCTTTTATAACACACACTATTAGCAGAAATTTTCAAAAAATTTTCATAAAATTTTCAGCTATTTTGTTTGGTTTTTGTGGTACTGGGGATTTGAACAAAGGGCCTTACATATGAAAGGCAAGTAATCTACCACTGAGCTACCATCCAATTTTATTTTATTTTGAGACACAGTCTACTTAATTTGCCCAGTTAGCCTCAAATTTGCAATCCTGGGGCTGGGGTGAGGGCTCAGCAATAGAGCGCTTGCTTAGCACATGTGAGGTTCTGGATTCAATCCTCAGCACCGCATATAAACAAATAAATAAAGTATTGTATCCAACTACAACTAAAAAATAAATATTAAAAAACAAATTGCAATCCTGTCTGGGTCTCCCAAGTCATTAGGATTACAGACATGTACTACCAAACCAAACTTTCAGTTCTTTTTTAAAAAATACTCCAATATTTACCTATTATCTCAATTGTAAGACAGTCTTACATCCTGTGAGAGAGCATTTCTTTTGTGAAAAGTACCCATAGGGCTGGGATGTGGCTCAGCGGTAGAGCGCTCGCCTAGCATGTGCGAGGCCCCAGGTTCGATCCTCAGCACCACATAAAAAATAAATAAATAAAATAAAGATATCATGTCCAACTACAACTAAAAAAAAAAAAAGTACATGTAACAATGCCAGGTGGACCTGTGTGTGGACTGTCTTTAAAGATAAGGCAGAAGGAAGCTGGGGATGGTGGYACAAATTTGTAATCACAGCAGCTTGTGAAACTAAGGCAGGAGGATCAGGAGTTCAAAGTCAGCCTCAGCAATGGCAAGGTGCCAAGCAACTCAGTGAGACCCTGTCTCTAAATAAAATACAAAACAGAGAATACGGCTAGGATGTGGCTCAGTAGTTGAATGCTCCTGAGTTCAATCTCCAGTTTCCAAAAAAAAAGTTAAAGAAAAAGATAAGGAAGGAGGAATAGCAGAAATTTTCAAGGTTATCATTTTATCATCTCAAACATCTCAGTAATATTCCTATAGGCTTCCCTCTTTCCAAACTAACTCTTTCCTGTGTTCATCATCTTTCAAAAAAACATTACTTGTACAAAGCTCTCTGCATTATTCTAAGTTTTCTGTCACTTTCTGGATAAAAGGTTTTAAGAACAGGAATCTGCATGACAATTCCACTTCTTTATCATTCTCTGCATTTTCTATTATCTTGTTAAAATTCTGCCCAGCATCCTTCACCTTTAACTGCTCTCACTTTGGCCATAGGTCTACACTTATCACTTTGCTTTCAGAAGAGTGTGAAACTGCCAAGTAATAATTCAACACAGGCATCCAAAATTAAACAAGATTCTTATATTATCTATTCTCTCTAATTCCCATTCTTAAATTCATGTTTTACAAAGTTAGTTGAATCAAGAAGCAATATTATCTCTTAGAATCTATCAAGTTCTTGCTGGGCATGGTAGCACATGCCTGTAATCCCAGCAATTCAAGAAGCTAAGGGAGGAGGATTGCAAGTTTGAGGCCAGCCTCAGCAATTTAGTGAGACCCTCAGCAACTTTAGCCAGCTCCTGTCTCATAATAAAAAATAAAAAGGCTGGAGATGTAGTCCCTGGGTTTAATTCCCAGTATCAAAAATAAAAAGCATCTATCAATTTCTCAATTGTAAAGAAGGATGAACTCTATTAAATGCAGGAATATTCTACAGCCTTCTAACATTTTGGTTGTACTTACTATTTTTAAATATATTCAGTAATCAGTCTATTTGACACCCATCCATCAGTGCTAAAAAGTCAAAAACACTCTTTACTTAGAATTTTTATTTTCCTTTACCTGAAAGAATTTTGAAACAAACTGATATAATACTAAAGAAGGGATATGCTGCCAGGAATGGTAATGCACAAGYCTGTAATCCCAGCAGCTCAGGAGGCTGAGGTAGGAGGATCACAAGTTCAAAGCCATCTTCAGCAACTTGGTGAGGCCCTAAGCAACTCAGCGAGATCCTATATCTAAAATAAAATGTTAAGAAAAAGGACTGGGGATATGGCTCCAGTGGTTAAGCACCCCCGAGTTTAATGTAAAAAAAAAAAAAAAAAAGATATGCTCATGGTCCCGGAGAAAAGAGACTTAGAAAGAACCAAAAGAGGAGTATCAGACAGTCTGGTTTAAGCCACTTGCACCAACATCTCTAACAGTCTTAGGCAATATGTAAGCTCTGTGTTCTCATCAGTTGATCTGTACTTAGAACCTAGAGCCCAGAAAGGTATGTAGCAACGACTAAAGGGATTCCTACCCCTTAAATGCAAATAACATTCAAGCACACTTGGTTCAAAATGATGCACTTTTATCAAGTACTTTTTTTTTTTGGGGGGGGGGGTATTAAGGATCAAACCCAGGGCCATTTTAGTCAAGTGCTCTGCCACTGAGCTACACCCCCAGTCTTTAAAGTACATTCTTAATAGAGTTCCAGAGAACACACACTTTAGAAAAGGTGAAGTAGGCGAAAGAGCTTTGAGTTTGGTTTTAGCCTGTAGTTCAAGAAAACTAATCCCTGGGTAACAAAAGCACACTGGCAATCTCACCCACTCCACCCACCCACATATACATACACAGACACAAGGAGAAATAGATTGCAATGTTCCTCCTCATCTCTCATTTCCAGAGTTCTCATAAAAAGAGCAATGAAGAAAGATAGAATATACTGATGCCATCAGATACATTATACTTGGCAATTAAGGGGTTAAGCTACACTACTTTTCTGGAAACCTTCCAATTCCCTATCTACAAATGCAATTCTCCTTACTACCTGTAATACCTAGCTTTTAAAATATGGCAGGATAAGAGTTAAGAGCAACACTTCAGAAGGAAAAAGAGAACTTGGTTCAGCTCCACCCTCTCAAAAGCAAATATCAACAACTCCAAGCCAAATCCACTCAGCATATGCCACACTCCATGAACATACCAAAAAAACAGGTGAAAAGAAGCTGAGTTTCCTCAGGTTTCTCACCTTACAACATCACTTTAAGTAGACTTCACAAATTTGTGAAACACATTTGTATCAGATAAAACAAAAAGCACATTCAAAATTCTACAAGATTTGAGAAACTAACAAGTCATGGAAGTCACTACAAATCAACAGAAATAGCTAGAATTTGGGTGAAGAAGGTCAAATAGTACCCATGGAAACAAAACAAAAACAAAAAGATACAAAAATAGAAGGAATATAGGCCCTAGAACTTAAGTTCTACGAAAAAACCCTCCCCAATTAGAGGGGCAATTCTTGTCCCCAAAAAATATAGGGAAAGGTTGCTTTAGTCACCAAAGGGAAAGGAGGTGTCATTTACTATTAACCCTGTATTTCCGGGAAGAAAGGTATTCACCAGATAAAAACAAGCAGTTACTGACAGCCTGGACGTCACTGTAAAGGATAGTATAGGAGCACCTGGTCTTGCTAGAAATAGGTGGGAAGAAATGAGTCATTATTTTAATTTTGTWTAGTACACTCAGCATCCCAACCCTCTAGGTCACAAAACATTTTCTTCCTGTTTCCATCACTTTATTAGTTTTCTTTCCAAACTTGTGAAGTTGAACTAGAATACTGGGGGAGGGGGGCCTAAGAAAAAACAAGAGGTAAAAATGATAAGTCCTTTGGTTGGTAGAAAGAGACAATAGGGTTGGGGCATTAAGTACCTGGAAGTAAATAACTAGCAAATGATTAATATCTAGACTCCCTCTCTTGGACAATGTTCAGTATCTTTCAAAGCTTTCAAAGTAAAAAAAAAAAAAAAAAAAAAAAAAAAAACAGACAAGTAGCTCCCTGGAGGAGGCAGTAAGAAATTAGAATTTAGGATGAACAAAGGTAATAAAATAATGATAGGGCTACATGAATAGCAATATTCCCTCAGACTCAGATTGGAAGTAATTGACACCTGAGGAAAGCTACACTACAGTTAGGAAATGGGATGGCAGTAGCCTTGGGGCATAAAACGTGACAGAAGAGGAGTTGAGGAGATGGTTTTCATAGGAAATGTATAAAAAGCAATTCGATTACTCACAAACTTCTTGGACTTGAAATCTAATTTCCTCCCCGCRGGGAGGTTTATCACCATTCTGGGTTAAGAAGGGCATAATCCTGAGAAGTTCTAACCCCGTGAAAAGTGATAAGCAACAGGGCAGAGACAGGTTCTCTGAATAGAGAAATACTGAAAAGCCAATTATCGTCATGCCCCAATGACCACAGGACCTGGGCAGGAACTCATTCCTGTAATCACAAGGACAAATGTCCAAGGGAGGAGGAGAGGTAAGGCCCAAGTCAGGTAACATTCTTGAGGGGAAGGATTATCAGGTGACACCGGGCTGAAGGCCCTGAGGGGGACGAGATGGGAGGAAAGTTAGCAGGTGAACGGGATCAATCATGGGAAAGGAAGTGACCTTTAGGAGAAGGAAATAAGATAACACCAAAAAGGGGGTAAGGGCGAGAAGAGAAAATGGACCCAGAGAGGGGACCAAAAAGAGAAGGTATGTTTGGGTTCTAGGGGCAGACGAAAGAAAGTGGAGCCGCTGGGGGCTGAGAGCGTGAGGGCCGAGGAGTAAGGGAAGCCCCGAGGTTGCCGGGGCAAGAGCCAGGTGGGACGCCGGAGCTTCCAAAGTCCCGGAGGGGGAGGATGCCAGGCTGAGGAGCCAAGGACCAAGCAGAACGAGGAAAGGAGGTGCGGGGGCGGACCCCTGGCGACCGACCGGAGCCCCTGGGGTCTCTGGAGTCCAGAGGGCGGCTATCAGGCCGGGCTGAGGGACCTGGGTGGGAGGGACACTCACRAATTTCTTGGATTTGCCGCCGTCGCCGCCCGTCGCAGGCAGCTCATCCGGGCTCCGGCCCTTCTTCTTGTCCCGGGTCCCGCGTCCGGGCCCCAGGGCCCCGCCGGACGGCTCCATGTCCTGATTCGCGCTCACCAGTGACCCTGTACCTACGCCGCTCCCGCCCGGCTGCTCCACGCCAGTAGCCGCCGCCGCCCAGCAGCTCCTCAGCCGGCCGCCGCGCCCCGCCTCATTAGCATGCCGAGCTGCGCGCGCCTCATGAATATACAACGGTGACGCCTCGCTCCCGCCCCCCTGCCCCACTTCCGCCCGGACCCGCAGCCCCTACCAATGGGGGCAGGGARGGGGGTGAGGGAAGCCGCGGAAGCGCGCTACCTGCCCGGCGGGCCTAACCATTTGGACCCACTTGGGGGGGGGCGGGGTGTTAGCGAGTGGGCGGTGCAGCTCTGGCGCCTGCAACTGGGAGCACCGCCCTCTGGCGGTTGGAGCGGCTCAGGCCTCTTCGCTCCCACGCAGCGCCCACGTGGCCGTAAAAACCTAGACCCTTCACACATCCCGGACCAGAGTATTATCTGCACAAAAAAAATCACGAAACCATTAGGCTGGCAGAAAATTTGGTGCTGGGCGCTCTAGGATAACGCAGTTTTCAGTGTGTTCAGTAAACATGGAGCAAGCATATGAAAAAAAAAAAATTAAACCAAAAGCTACCATTTATTGAAGGCCATGTACCAAAAACAAGGCGTGGTGCGCTCAATGCTGGACTCCTAACTAGATTAGTTCTGGAGTTAGAATTTCCCAGTTATGAATCCCAGGTAGGGATTATGTTTCTAATGTGTACGAACTAATTATCACCAATAGCCTAAGCAGTAATAATGGACTTAGCTAAATGCACGTTCCTTGCCAGGCACTATGCAAAATATTACAAACCTTTTCTTACTGAACACTCACAATCTCATGTGAAAAGTTCCATTGGTCTCACCGTTTTACAGATAAGAAATTTGGATTGGGGAGAGTTAAAATAACTTGATTAAGCACACATAATTGGCAAAAAAAATTTAAGCCCAGATTAATCTGTCAAGCCCTGTGTTTAACCAGGATTCCCCACTGGCATAAATCAAACATTCCTTAAAGAATGATGTTCTCCAACAGTATGTTCTTTGCCCTTAGCATGATTTTCTCCCTCAGCAATTTCATCCATTCTYCAACTACATCTGTCTTGTGTGTGAAAAGTACATGGCACCCTGTGGGCCCTCAAAGTATGGAGTGAATATTCTTGACCACAGCAGACATGGAGGGCAGTGACTTACTAGGGTCCCCAATGCTTAGAGTATGGCCTGGTAATACCAGACTCTGCTAAGCAGGTTGCTCCTCAATCTAGCCTTCATCTCCCTTGTGCTCTAGACCTAAWTGCCTGGTAGAAAGTTGCACAGAGCTGTCCAGACCATACTTCAAACTCAGTTTGTCCAAAACAGTTTAAAAACTACTTTCTAAGCGAACATGGTGGGCAACAGACTGAAAGGACTGAGGGAGTGACCCATCTACCACTTCTCTTTCTTGTACCACTGTCAATGTGTGCTAAATTACCACATTTCTTACTGTCTGTAAACTCCTCGAGAGAAGGGTCTATGTTTGCAGCATTTACAGTATCTAGTAATGTTTTTCACAAAGACAGTTAATGAGCAACTTTTTAATATTTAGCACTGTGTTAAGACTTACCATGTTTCATCTCAGTTTATCTTCACCAACAAGCATGAGCAGGCCAATCACCTACGTTAACAAACCTGAAGTCACCTTCTTTGCCATCTCAAGCTAGTTATCTGCCCAAGTTTGTCTAACTCTCCACCAAAATGTTCTATTAACTCCCTATATACAAGTAAAATAATCCATGTAGAATATATACACAGGACCTAACATAGGGTACTGAATAAATGTTAACTATGATTTTTATTATATGCATCATCACCCCATTTCCCTTTCCCTTCATACATAATTAGCAAGAATTAATATTCCCAGAAAGGTACAAAAAATACCAACTTGGTTTATTGGATTAAAAACAGTGGTAAAATGGACATAAAACCAAAAGTTACACAAGACATGTTCATATCCTCCCCTACACAAAACCATACTTCCCATTGTCTATAGTTAAGATGTTAGGGAGCCAGAGCCCCCACCACCCAAAACCCTCACCCTTTGCTTGTCCTGGAAGTAAGGCCTGCAGTAGAACCCAAAGGAGAAGGATGTTAGAGACAACCTCAGTCCTCTCTACCCCTTCATCCCTGAGTCTCTGGGTTGGAGGGAAGCAGGGAAGGAATAAGGGACCGGAAGGGTTGGGGACTGGCTACTAGGGTCTACTGCCCAGAATGTCCCAAAGCCAGCTATACTTCCCTATCTCATCCCTAATAAGTACCATTGTCAGGCTGTGGGAGAGAAAGGAAAAGGGGATAGATGGTTCTAGAACCACATGTGATCTCCAAACCCTTCCTCAGAGTTAGCCTCAGGTTCCCAGACTAGGGAAGCACACCTTTTCCCTTCCCACCAACAAGGCATGAAAAAGAATTCCCATAGCATTCCAAGACGCTCTTAAATTTCCACGTCGCTTTCCTTGTCATTATCGTGGTCTCCATCATAGAATTCATTGGGTGCCTCTGGCCTGCAAAGCAAGGGCAGACAGATCAGAACCCTGCTCTACAACTTTCCAGCACCCTCTCCAGAGCCATTCCTCAGGGTCTCTGGGAATTCCTCTCCTCCTTTTGGTAGAGAATGATTGCTATGCATTCATCCACTCACATATTCAATAAACATTTATGGCGAATACTCTGTGCCAGGCATGTGTCAGAGGCTTATAGCAGATAATTAGCCGGACCAGGCTTTCATCCATCATGAAAAAGCTTACCTAATAAATGAGACCAAAGATTTAGTAAATAATATAATTTCAGGTGGTGGAGAACATTATGAAAAAAAAAAAAAGAAAGTAAGTAACATGATTGTGAGTGATAAGAGGAAAATGGTAAATTCCAGACAGGATTTTTAGGGGAAATTATTTTAAGAATGAAAGCCTGAAGTTTGGGAAGCCAAGCAAACATCTCAGGAAAACTGTTCCAAGCCTCATAAGGTAGAAAAAAACTGGTATATTTTAATATAACAAGGAGGCCATGATGGCTGGGCGTTGTGTCATGAAGGAGAGTAGTTACAGATAAGATCACGGATGGAAGTCAGGATCAGCACACAGGGCCTTTTTAAGCCAGAAGTGGAGGACTGACTTAAACCTACACTGAGAGAAGGGATGTGAAAGAAACACAGGGCCCAGTAAATACTCAATACTGATTTCTTTCTTTTTCAAAAACTACTCTCTGAGAGAAAACTGAGTCATCAAAGAGTAGMTGAGGGAATAAGTCAGTTAAGGCTCTATCTACTTGAGCCACAGGTCAGTTATCTCACCACAAGGATAAAAGTTGTGGGGTCACAAGCTTAGATTTGTATCTTAACTAGCTTTATGACCCCAGGAACATTATTTAACCTCTCTGAGGCTTAGACTCCTCCTCAGGTAATCTGAGGATAAGAGCTACTCTTAGCATTGTCCAATGGCACCAGAACAATGACATGATATGTATGTTGTACTATAAAGCACCTAGTATTGAATCTGGTGCTTGGCAAAGCCACAGAAGTGGCAACTCTTATTATTACTACTCTGCAAGTCATGTGCAAGTTGGAGCTATAGGATCAAAGAAGAACCAGAACTCAGTGGGTGGTCTGACAGGGAGACAGGGCTTAGGAACAGGAAGAAAGGCCTGAGGCTTCTGCTGACTGTTGAAAGGGTGTGGTATAATGTGCAGACTAGACCCAGATGTCAGTCTGTTACTATTGATGAAAAAGCCAAACTTTGACAAAAGGAAGAACTTAAAAACAGGTTTTGCCAAACCAAATCAGACACTGAAAATCAATTTCCAGAAGTCAAGCTTTAGAAACCTAGAAAAACTGAGAAGGAGATGACTCAAAAACTCTGAGGCCAGATGTTTAGATATTTCCCAACCCAGGCCAGGCAATAAGGGGGTTTTCATAGAGGAGGGAAGATGGACAGGTCCTAAGGGTTAGAGTAGTAAAGTCCATGTCCAAAGGACAGAGACGCTGGCTGGAACTCTGATTATGAGTTGTGAATGTGAGAAGCAGACTCTAGAAGGGTCTGAGAAGCTCACCAGACTGCAGCAGAGCAAGCTTCAACTTCTAACACTGAACAGGAGCAGGACTGGGTATCCTGCAAATGTCCAGCTGTGATTGGTTATTCCTCAATATTGTAAGGAAATCTGTTCTCCACAAGTGCATCTGGTTTTGCACTTCTGGGTTCTCTTGTTTTTTCCCTTCATTTTTCAGAAAAGTTTGTTTTGATATTTTAAAAACAATTTCTATCCTCACCGTCCCCTATTCATTCTATCTATAAATATTTCAGTATGTATCTCAGAAAGACAGAAGCTTTTTTTGAAAAAAACAGAACCACTATTCTCAAACCTGAAAAAAAAATGAACAGAAATCAAACAACATTAAAGAGCAATATGTAGGCAGTGACCTGTCCAGCCAACCCAGAAGGAAAGACTAAAATGCTGGCAAGAATGTAAATTCTAAAGACTTTGGAGGGCTGGGGATACAGCTCAGTTGGTAGAGTGCTTGCYTCACATGCACAAGGCCCTAGGTTCAATCCCCAGGACCACACATACACAAAAAAAGACTTTTTGGAAGGCAATGTGACAGCAAATACAAATGATTTTTCTGCATTCAACCTTTGACCTAATAACAACAATTCTAGGAATCTAACTCATTTAAACAAGCATGCAAATATGTAAACATAAGGGGACTCATTGCCACCCTCTTTATTACCATAATAGCAAAAAAAGGGGGGATTATGTAAATTAATGTAACTGTCCATCAATGGTAGTTAGTTAAATTAGGTTATATCCACACAATGGAATATTATACAGCTGATAAAATACAGAAACAGATCCATATCACTAACACAAAGATACGATATCTTATTTTAAAAAAAGACAAGTTTAAGTTTAGAGCCACATGTACAGAATGTTTCCATTTAGACTAACAAAAATCAAGACCCCCACAAATAGCAAACTCTATGAATGAATATATATGTTCACAGTATGTATGCATTAGAAATATACTTGTAATTWACAGAAAAAAAGGTCTATCTAAAAAGATATAAATCAAACTATTAATGGTAGTTACTTCTGT